TTTAAATTAAATCTAACAAAATTACAACCAACAACTTCTATATTAAACTAAACAAGAACATAATACAATCTGAAGAAATAATTAAAAAAAACGATAAACAACGAACAAGAAAAGAATCAAACATATACTGATTTCAAATCCGAGAATATCAAACAAAATACGGGAAAAAAATGAAACTTAAACTAACTAACCGGAAATAAACAACGACGAACTTGAACGGAAACAAAAAACTCGAACCAAGACTGCCAACGACCTCGACGTGAGATGAAGTTGTTGCTGCTGGACGACCTCGACGATGGTTAACGTGAGCGGCTCAGCTGCTGGTGGGCGACGAGGGCCGTGACTGGTCGACGCACGAGTGAGCTAGGTTGCTCGACGAGCAAGAACGCAGCAGTGGGGCGTTGGGCTGCTTCACGTAGTAGAAACGATGGCGGATTTGGGTGGTATATTGGTGGCGCTGTATGTGTTGTTCACAGCTGGAAGACAAAGCAGGAGGGGGGTCGTTCATGGCGACGTGAAGACGAAGCAGAAGAAGGTGCAACAGTCATGGAAGCTCGACGAGGGCAGCAACAATGGTTGACGCAGCAGCGATGGTTGCTCGTCAATGGCGGACGTGAGAAGGAGGCTGGTTGCTGCTGGTTGGGCGACAAAGCAGCTGCCATGATGAAGAAGATGAAGACGAAAAAGCAGCAAGGGTGGAGCTTGGGGGTCGACGCAACTCGTCAATGGCGGACGAGAGGGGGGGTCAACTGGTTTTTTCCGGTGATTGAAGGGGTCGTTTGGAGGTGAGGAAAGAGATGAAGACATGAGGGGTCTGTTTGGACGTGAAGATGGAGGGGAATTGGCAGCCATGGGAGGGGCTTGGGGTATTTGGAGAAGATGGAGAGAAAAGGGGGGGCGGATGATTTTTTAGGGTTTTTGTTTTTTTAGGGTAATGAAAAAAAATGAAAATGGGGGTTGGGATTAGTTTGGGTTATGGGGAGGACTGGGTCGGGTCGACCCGATGAGGTTTTGGGTTGGGTGGAGGTGTTTTGGGCCTATATTTAGAATTGAAGAGGAGGCCCAATTCCGATTTTCTTCTATTTTTTGTTCTCTTTTCTTTTACTTATTAATAAAACTAAAATGCTAAAATTAAATTATAAAAACCAAAATTATCTTAAAATACTAATTAACTCCTAATAATAATTATCACCCAAAATTAAACATCAAATAAAAATAAAATCACACAATTTGGACATTAAATGCTAAAAATGCAAGAGATGCCTATTTTTATAATTTTCATTCTTGTAAAACAAACTTAATTACTCATAATTGCAAACCTAAATCCTAAATGCAAATGCGACATATTTTTGTATTTTTTTATTAATTTAGCAAATAAAACATGCACAAACAAAAATGCAAACAATACAAGAAAAATAACACAAAATTCACAACAATTTCAAACCTAAAAATTGTTTTATTTACGGAATTTTTTTTTTGGGAGTGATTCTCATATAGGGCAAAAATCACGTGCTTACACTTATGTATTTTAGAAAGAGTTTCTATAAATTGAGTTAAATGCCATATTTGGGCCTTGTGCCAGAGCTGTTTGTACCCTTAGGTGCCTTCTCTTACTATCCTCTCACTGTTTTTGGTTGAAAATCTATACTGAGCTCAGTCTTGTTACACTTATTGATTTCATAACTCAGTCTTCATTATTCTATTTTGATGCATATAAAATATTGTTTTTGGTTGAGTACCCTGTTTTTACTGAGAGCCCGAGTGGCTTGAGAGGTTTATGACCGAGTGAGGCTAAGGGCCTGATTTGTGAGGATATTTATGAGATCGGGTTGCACGCCGCATCATATTGTTACTGATTCATGATTGATGAGGCCGATGTCCTGATTGATTTATGCCACGAGATGGCTTGATATAGTGCTTGGGCTGAAGGAGCCCCTCCGGAGTCTGAACACCCCCAGTGAGTGCGGGTACTTTGAGTGAGAGTGATGTTAAGGGGGGGGGGGCTGTATACGAGTGACTATGAGGTTGCCCGAGGGGTTGTATATGAGTGATGTTTTGCCCGATGAGCTGCTTATGAGTGATGTTTAGCCCGAGGGGCTGCTTATGATTCCATCATTTTTGCTCACTATTTCATTGAGCCTCTGTTGGGAACTGTTGAAAACATATCTTCAAATTATTTTTACTGAAACTGAGTTTAAACGAATGATTTGATTCAAACTCTTCTTTTAAAAGCCTGTTGTACTTTTACTGAGATTTTATGATATGAACTTATATGTTTTATTGCTCGTCACCGCTTCTCAGCCTTTATTTACTTTGGTTACTTACTGAGTTGGAGTACTCACATTACTCCCTGCACCTTGTTTGCAGATCCAGGTGTATGAGGACCCGGTAGCAGCTATTGACTAGTCCAGCTGTAGATTCTTCTCGGAGTTGGCAAGATAGTGTGAACACCTAATTTTTGCACTATTTTAACACCTCCTAAAGTTATTAGTATTTTGTTATTTTAATTATTTTTCTCAATTTTTGTGACTTTAATTGCATATTTCCTATCATAAAATACTAAAAAAATAGTTCTTTCTTCATTTATGCATTTTAAGAATTAACTAGTTGTTCAGTTGGTGAATTAATCTAGTTAATTGATCATTAGAATAAGTTATTTAATTAATTTATTTGTGTAAAAGTAGTTTAATAAGTAATATTAAGGAAGAAATTTGGCCAAATTTGAAAGTGTCCAAGAGTGCAAAGATAAAGGGCTACCATTGAAAGGGTCTGAAACTACGTAGTTTTGCCTCAAAACTACGTCGTTTCACTAAATGAAACAAGATCAAATNAAAAAAAATAGTTCTTTCTTCATTTGTGCATTTTAAGAATTAACTAGTTGTTCAGTTGGTGAATTAATCTAGTTAATTGATCATTAGAATAAGTTATTTAATTAATTTATTTGTGTAAAAGTAGTTTAATAAGTAATATTAAGGAAGAAATTTGGCCAAATTTGAAAGTGTCCAAGAGTGCAAAGATAAAGGGCTACCATTGAAAGGGTCTGAAACTACGTAGTTTTGCCTCAAAACTACGTCGTTTCACTAAATGAAACAAGATCAAATCATACTCATCTATTCCATCTTGATCCAATGGATCTCATTCACTCTTGGCTTAGGTATTTAAAGCCTCAAAAATCTGAAAATTGTCCTCATTTTCACCCATAATTCTTTTCTCCTTCTTCTCTCTTCTCTCTCTCTTCACTCTCTCTACGCCGCCCCAGCTCCGCCCACCGCCGCCGGCCGAAAATCTCCGCCGCCGGCGGACTACCTCCAAATTCACACCATGTAATCTCCACAACTTCCTCTTTCCATATCTCCAAACCAAATCCTTCAAAAATCCCTCAAACTCCTTGAATCTTAGATCTAGGAAACTTTCCCGTCACTTTTTTGCCTAAATTCTTGAAGCTCCAACCACTACCACCCCACAATACTTACATCAATGGATAGAGCTCCTCAAGACCTAACTATTGATACCAATTTCACCCTGAAAATCCGGCGATCGAAATCCGTTCAAATTTCGGCGACCTCCCCGAACACCCTCTTTTGGCATACCACCATTTTTTCGGCCACTTGAATTATAAAATGGTAAAAATCCTATTATTTTTCGTGGCTGATTTTTTATTTTATTTTTATTTTTTCAGATTTTATTTTGTCTATTATTAATTATTTTAGCATTAGTTTTTGAAGTTTGAAATGTTAAATTTTCTATTTTTGCACTTGTTGACGTACTAAAATAGTTTTGTGTTGATAAAAGTGAGGTAGTGAATAATACTTAGGAGTATATGGTACTTGTTTGGTTGTTTATTTACTGCTTCAAGACTCTTTGAGTACAACACTCAAAAGTCAAATTATTTGGTAAGAAAATGTAGACCTTTGGATAGTGTTTGAATAAAAGTGTGTCTTTGAATAGTGGAGAACAGATTTTGTTTGAAATACTTGACAATATTTGAACCAGAAAGTCTGGCATTTTGAATTTAAGAGCAGATTTTGGAGAAAAATCTGTCAAAAAGATTGATTTTTAATTTTTTGAAATAGCTGATTGTTTTGATATATAGGAGGACACTCCATCTTATTGAGGTAGATCTACACAATAAAAAGAGAAAAAAATCAGTAGCTATAATATCCCTTAGCAGCTTTTGTGAGTTGATTCTTAAGTGAAAAACTTGTTTAAGGAAAATAGAGTAGTCTTGAAAGATTTTTCTGGAGTTACATAATTGTACTGTTTTGCTGGGGTATTTCTAGTTTATTTTCTTGGGTTTGAATCTGCCGGTTGTCGCTGTCTTTTGCTGTTGTTGCTGCCCGTTTAATTGTTTTGCTGTTGCTTTTGGAAAGAGCCGACTCTGCTGTATTTGTTCTTCTTTCTGCTGTCCAGGTAATTTTCGGACCATGTAAACTCATAAAATCGAGTTGGAATGAAAGATAATGACGCTGGGAAATATTAGTAGCTTTATCCTTCTATTGTAATTCATTTTTATATGCTCTTGAATGTTTGATAATGTTATAACGATATGTTAGTTAATTAAATTGTGTTAAGCATCTTTAATTATTTTTATTTTTGCAAAGCATTAGATATAATTCCACTGGCATTTGGTTGTTTGAAAGGAGCATATATATTAAAATTTGAACCTTTATAGCCATGTTTGTCCCATTGTTGCCACCAAGCTAAGTTTTATTATTATTATTATTATTATTATTATTATTATTATTATTATTATTATTATTATTATTATTATTATTATATTTTAGAGTCCCAATAATATTTTTTTTATCTCTTAAAAAATACTTATTTAGTAAGGTAGTTAAGTTGTAGATTAGAAAGACAATTTGTAAATTTATTTTTGTAAATAGTTGGCTACGGATTGCAAATAGCAAGATATGGCCAAATCTGTAACATAGCTTTAAAAGGTCATATATGCAGATTTAAAGTCCAAAAGCATATGAGCTTTTGGATTTTGTTTTGGACATGAGCCTATTTGACTCCATCAACCCAATAGTGGGCTGCCTCATTCAATGTCAAGACAAACCCACATCTTACTAGTTTTAAGCAATGTCAATTGATAATTTTCTCTCATTACTCTCATATTTTAAATTAGTACTCATAACAATAATTTTCTCTCATTAGTTAAGTTGTAGATTATTATTCAAATCTTTTTAAAAAATAAAAATAAAAACGGACATAAGAAAAGCATAAAAATCAAATAAACCACAGTTTATCCAAGTTTAATTCAAGCCAAATATAGTCAATAAAGCGACCGTGCTAGAACCACGGGACTCAGGGAATGCCTTACACCTTCTCCCCGGTCAACAGAATTTCTTACCCGGACTTTGTTTTCGCAGACCAATAATAATAGAGTCAAACCTTCCTTTGATAAGGGATTCGAATAAAAGGTGACTTGGAACACCAGTAAAAATCAATTCCAAGTGGCGACTCTGTAAATAAATAATCCCTACTTTAAATCTGTCACTTTAATTGGAAAAGCTCTTTAACCCACAATCCGTTACATTTTGCACACTTATCTCTTGGAGGGGTAAAAAGGGGTGTGACAGGTAGCTGCTGGCGATCGCAGCCCTATTCTTCTCGCTCATATCTTCTTATAGTTGTTTGTAGTTACATTTTCCAGACTGTTTTAGTCTGGGTATTTTGGACAGATTTTAGTACATACTCATGAATAGTGACACCCCGATGTCGGGCTTTTCTTTCCGCACTTTCATTATTCAGATTTTTCTTTATGAAGTTTTTTTATTATTAAATAGCTTGAAGTTATTCTTAAATTGAAATATAGAGTTATTTTTGGTAAAGAGTCGGCTTGCCTAGTACCATGATAGGCACCATCACGACATGGTAGTTGGTTCGTGACAATAATCATATATTAAATAAACATTTAGTAGATTTTTAATTTGAATCCACAAGAACCCGTAATCAACCTTCAAGATCCATCTTGCCACTTGGAGTTAATTACACTTTTTTGAATTCAAGTATTCTCCATACAACAACAACAATGGCCCAGTAAAATCCCACAAGTGGAGTTTGGAAAGGGTAGTGTGTACACAGACCTTACCTTACCCTGAGAAAGTAGAGAGGCTGTTTCCGAAAGACCCTCAGCTCAAGAAGACGAAAAGAGATAATATAGTACCACCAACAGATACCATAGGAATAATAACAACATCATAAAGACCAGAAAGTCGATGAAAAGCAAAAGCGATAACCATTAAATAGATCTGGCACTATAAAATACGAAAAAGTAGTAAATACAATATTAATCATGAATAGTGTAAGACAAAAATTCTATTAGACTAGCCTCACAGAAGTAAATTCGAGTATTCTCCATGTGTTTCTAAAATGTTTATCATCTTGTAAAGTAAAAATATTTTACTCTTTTCTTTTATGAAATATTATATTTTGTAGTAGATTCCTATAACTCCTAAAGAAGTTACTCCCACTACTTTTCTCCATTATTTAGATAACCCACACTACTTCTCACCATCATAGTTGATATTTAGCCTAAAGCATATATTTTTCTATGTATATTGCCTCATACTTTACTTTTGTTTCGTGAATTTGGGATATTAAATGCTATGATTTATATTAATTTGAAGTGTTTTTACTTGTAGGAATGATTCGGGAGCAATTGGGAGCGAAACGCGCAAGATTTGAGCTAAAACGAACAAAACCGGGAAAATGCACATTTGGGCACCTCAGGCAGCGCATGGCGCCACCTGTGGCATTGGAGACAGTACTGACAATTTGGACAGCGCCCTGGTAGGCGCCTGACACCGGGCTGGGCGCCGGTGACGTAATTTTGTCCAATTTTGCCCGGGACAAGGTTATTTCGGCCCTAAACCTACCCAACACGTATAAAAGCAAGACTAAACCTATTTTTGAGGGGGGAGAGACGCCACTTTGGATATATCTAACATACTTTGAAGGAGAATTCACGTGGAGGAACACACACCACGTTTGGAGAAGGCTTCTAACTAGTTTTTCTTCTCTTCTCTTCTTTTAATCTCATAGTTTATTAGTTCTAGAGTTTTGGGTGCTACATGAACGTTGTAGTTTGAAGCTTGAATTGTTCTTATTATTTTATCATATTGGTTTATTTATTCAATATTGCGCTTAATTATTGGATTGCTTGATCACCAATTGAATACTATCTACGAATCTAGGATTGAACTCGGGAGAGGAAATTCTAGATTGCATATAAGATTGAGTATAGCAAGATCTTAACTCTGAGGGGGAGTAGATTTGCGGTTAGGATAGGAATATACCTAATCGCCTTGCTTGGTTAATATACGGGAATTATTAATGTGTTCTTGTTAATATTAATTCTACAGGAATATAGGCATTAAGTTAGATTGAATAGGCGAGTTGTACTTTGGGAGAAAGCTATGAGCAATATTAACCCTGTCAATCAACAAACCAGATAAATTAATTAGACGATTGAAGTAAAAAACTCAACGGGATTGTTAGCTAACCCATAGCTCTAGAATATTCACTCACATTGAATTCGCCTTTATAATTCGCCAACTTGTTTTCTTTAATCTCTTAATTTGTTACTCTAGATTAATTTTAGTTAAATATTCATACTTTAGAATTCGCTTGAATAGATTAATTGGTTGGGTTTAATTTAGTTGATAGTTAATCACAAGTCCCTGTGGGTACGTTATCTGGACTTACAATCCTATATTACTTGTCGACTACGTATATTTGCATGTGCATTTGGGAGTAACAATATGGTTAATGATAAGATGGTGGGTTTTAAGTCCCAACACATCATGAGAGTAAGATATCAGGTTTTGAGTCCTGATGCTCCATGATTGTAAGAGTTGGGTTCGAGTCCCAAATTATTATGGCCCAACATGTTTTTATATGGGTAAGGCAATGGGTTTGAGTCCCAATGTACCATATTGATGATCTAATGATGACTAATAAAAATAATTTATTTTTCATGAAAAAGCATGAAGCTTGTCTCACTTGATTTGCTCCATTCTTTAAGTGAATGTGATAGCGGCGCATAATAAATCTAAATGAAAACAAGTAGTTGACTAATGAATGTGGGCGTGCCAAAGACCAAAATAATAATAGTCATCATTATGCTAATTATAAAAGGAGAACAATAAGGTTTCTCAAAATAATCCTTCAAAGGTGAAGGAATTGTGTATCAATATGGTCTGTAAATATGAGGCACACTCAGGTGATTATAGTCCTTTTTTTTTGTAAGAATGCGACTTGTGATAAGCATTGTAAATGCAAACTTATTCCTGAAGTGGTGTGAAAATATATATGTGATATAAATTATGCACAAGAATGTATTTATGCATGGTTGAATAAATACTACAACTCACCTCTACGAGAGGTTTGAGAGAATAAAGATCATGAACATTACAATGTGGTTACACGAATATGTCATTGGTCGTGTACATGTGGTTGTCATGCCTTATAAAATGTTATTAAAGACAAAATTAAAGCAAGAAAAGATTTTGCCTATGATGATTTTGACCATGACAATTATTATGATAAGATAATTTTCTCTGTGGAGGAAAAATTCACCACTTGGATGGTGTTATAAAAGATCTTGTAGTGCAGAATTATTTAGAGCTCCAGAAGAGCAAATTCGTTACTACTCGAATAAATAAAATTATTCATGACATTGGTGGTAGTAAGTCTCAAAAGAAACTTTTTGAGTTTCAAATGTATTAGCCAAAGTGGTTGGCATATTGAGATTATAAATGAAAGGAAGATCGATTATCTTCATATTACTATAACATACCGGGTAAATATGAAGATTACCCGATTTTCTTCTATTTGTACTACAAATGTATAAGCATGATGATGAAATCACATGCCATATTAAATTAAATATTTACTGAAACAAATATCAGTTGGCATGACCGGTTGGCCATCCCAGTTCAATTATGATGCGAAAAATGATTGAGAATTCACATTGGCATAAATTGAAGAATAAGGAGATTCTTCGAGAATTCTCATGTATGACTTGTTCTCATGATAAATTGATTACTATACCAGCTGGGGTTGGGATTGTATTCTCTGATTTTTGGAACGTATAAAAGGTGATATATATATATCACCTTTTATATATATATATATATATGGGCCCAGCCACCTGTCATGTGGACCGTTTACTATTATATGATTTTAATAAATGCATCTATTGTATGGTCACATGTGCATTGATTATCAACTTGCAATTGGATTTTGCAAGGTTGCTTGCTCAAATTATTAGAGCAGAATTCCAGAATGTAAGTTGATGATAATGCTAGTTTAAATCCAAGTTGGTTTAGTAGAAATTGCATGCCTCCAATTATAGCTAAACTATTGGTTATGAGAACAAAACTCCAAACAGAAATTTTGTATGAAGTGTATTATTTAATATACAACAACACTTGTATGCTTCTAGCCAACAAGTTATGAAACACTCTCCCCATCATAATTGGTTCAGGGTCAAGAACCAAATATTTTCATCTAGAAATATGGATGTACTATATGATTTAATTCTGCCACCACAATGCACAAAGATTGGTCCCCAAAGAAGGTTGGGGATATGTGTTGGTGA